TATATATAATAATTAATAATAAAATAATACAGATATGATAAAATAAGATAACAAAATATATAAACATATAAATAAATTATTAATAAATTAAAAAAATAAAATAGAGATAATACCATCTTTTAAATCCTTATTAAGTTCTAATGAAACTATTTCATTTTGTTTTCTATTTTCTTTAGATTAGAATTTATTATTATCTCTCTTCTCTTTATTTATTATCCTCTCTCCTTTAATTATTCCACTTGGTTCCTTCTTTGTTTATTCAAATTTCTTTGTTTTTGTTATCCTATAATATAGAATATCAGTTATTTTAGTATTATTTATCTTTCCATACTTTCAAAATTCCTAATAATTACTAAACTAAACTCAAGCACTTTGTTATACTTGTTTTTTCACTCTTTTAACAGGTAGTATCAATTTGGTATCAGTTATATGAAAAATACAAATAATTCCTTTCTATTTTTAGATAGAATTATTCAAGATAAGTTTTAAAATCCTTTTTACAAATATCTTTAAAGTCCCATTATTTCAATTTCCTTTTTTCATTTGAAAATTCATCTAATTTAGAAACTCTAGAATATTACAATATCAAGTATAAAATAAAAGAAGAAAATTTAGAAGAAAAATAAGAATTAATTATTTATATACCTCCTGAAGTAATGAATTAACAACTTCAAAGATTAAACCAATTTTCTATTCAATTGATTACTCTAGTACTTCAGTTACAAAATATCTAACCTCTGGTAGTCAATATAGTTACTCCAAACTAGGAGATGAATTTGTTATCTTATCCAAACTTCTTTAGTGGAGATCAAGATCCAATTACTTAAATAAAAGAAATAGAAAAGACCTTTAATAGTAACATAATCTCTTAAAACAAGAAAATTACTGTTATTATTTCTTGACTTAAAGGTTTCACTACTACTCGATGGACCATAAAAAAGAATCAGAATTTGACAGTAGACAAAAGGAATGATGCTAATCAATAAAACCAAAGCTTCCGGTCTCTCTTTATCTAACAATTTAAAACTGTTACCCTAGAAGCTAAATGGTTTACTCAGTATTATTATATTTTTTTATCCTCTTCATTGTTGTCGTATTTTTACTATTGTTTCCATCTATCACATCCCATTATCATTAATCTCCGTCCATATAGTTTCACTTTTTATTGTCGTCACTTCCTCTATTCCTTTTTCTATTTTCTTGCTATTACTTATCAATACTTATTATTACTTACCTTCATTTATCTACTTACCTTATACTACTCACTTTAGTTTTATCCTTTTTACTATCCCATCTATCCTAAATTTGTCCTAAAAATCTTGATCCTTTATTCTCTTTCTCTGCCTATATTTATAAATCCTTTTAGCTATGCCAGTCATGTGCCACGTGACTTCTGATATACTGTAGATTGCAGATACTACGGTTTACTACAGAAATCGTCATTTTGCTTAGATGGTGATCACTCTTTCTAGTAAAAGACTACTCACCAAGAAGAAGATGCAAATGTTTTAAATTACTACTACCTCCACAGTAGCCAAGAAGTTAAGCAAGACCAGAATTGAGTCTATTTTATTATTTTTTTTCTTTTTTTTTCTTTTTTCTTCTTTTATAATATAATTAATAATAGATTAATTTATATTTTTAGAATAAAATTAAAATATCTATAAAAGTAGCTTTAATTTTTTTTTATATATGTTTTTTTCAGTTAATCATTTATTCAATAGACCAATCAATTAGTTAATAAAATAATTAATTAGTGATTATTGAATTTTAATTAATCCTTTAGATAATTTTTGAGCAAATTTAGGATAGATTTCTTTACTTTCTTTATTTCTTTTTATATTTTTTCTACTTTCTTAATAAAATCTTTATTTTGTCTATAAATAAGTTATACACATGTTTATTTATTTCCTTGCATTTGTTTATAAATTATAAATAAAGTCTACATTGTAAAATCCAGAGTCTTAAATAAACTATTGATTTTTAATTCATTGTTTAAACTATCACGTGACTTAGCTGGAATTCACTTTCTTCATTCTTTAAACTCACTCATCCTTTAAATCTTTAAAAAGTCCTAGTAAAACTATTCTATTTTGTTTCTTATTATCTTTAGATTAAAATTTATCATATTTTCTTTTTCCCATATTCACTATTCTTTCTTTAACTTGTTCTTTCTTTATTTTATCTAGTTTTTTTACCTTTATTATTCTATAGTATAGAAAATTAGTTACTTTATTATTATTTGTCCTTCCATACTCCTAAAACTCACTGATAATTACTGGACTAAATTCAAGCACTTGGTGTACTTGCCCCCTTGCTCTCTCAACAAGTAGTATTACTAGCTAACCCAAAGAAAACAGTATCCTGAAAAAGATGTAAATTCCTATTATAATGAAATGGAAGAACTGCTTAAGAGAGTAAAGGCAGGAGGATATACTTATTCTGACTTTACAAAAGCTCAAATTTTTATTAATAGCCTTTGTCTAGAATATTTCTTCCATGTGTCTACTTTGACTTTAGTCAATCTTTCCGATATATACAGTAGAGCAAAAGTATATGAGAGTGTTTTCAAGCAGAATTTCACCTATATATCTCTTTTAGATTTTCATATATTAGTTCCATCTTACAATTTAAATAGTTCAGCTGCTTTGTATTCAAAGTCAACCTTACAATAGTTCTTTTTTTATGTGAATTTTTTGGCCTCAACTAATTCAACTGAAGCTGCAATTTACAAACTGATCAAAATCATAAATGCTATAATATTCTAAATAAGCAGTTTATAGAAGAAAGAAAACTTCAAATCGACTAGAAATTCTAATAATAATAACTACAATAGTAACAATGACAATAAGTTCCAGTTCTTTTGTTATAATTGTGACAATTCCAGACATATAAGTAGAAACTATTCTGAACTTCAGAAAAACTTCAATAAAAATTATAAAAATAATTTTAACAATAACAATAATCAAGAAAATAATAATTTATTACTTATCTCACCTAACAATACTTTTTGAAAAATTTGATTTAAGCAAGTAACAATCTAATTCTGAACAATATACCTTCCAGTGATAATTCTAACCTCAATCAAACTCTTCAAGCTCTTTTAACAAATATTATGAACCAAGTTAGAAATAATCAGCTTTTTAATAATAATATTCAGTAGTCTCTTCAGCTTGTATGAATATAATAGTATACTTTACTATCTAGTTGATAGAAGTAGTTCAAGTTCCATGATCAAGAAAGATACTGTTTTGATCTGGCCCCAGCTCAAAAGAAAAATTAAAGAAAACTCAGTTCTAAAGTTTTTACAAGTTATAGTAAAAGTAACCAAGGAGCCTAGTAAATCTGAAGTTCATAATGGTGATATTATTATAACTCAAGTTTCAGAAAAAGAACCTGCTTGGTGAAAAAGCTAAAAACAGCTCCAAAAATCAGAAAAGCTCTAGACCAAAAAGGAAACTAACAGAAGAGGAACTGTCACAAATTACTTCACTTATTCTCAAGTATTCTATTGTAGCAGATTTGCAAAATCAAAAGACTAATATCACTTATGGCCAATTGTTTCTTGGTATCTTCAAAATGAAATAGAATTTGATAAAAAGTTTACAAAAGAAGAAAGTCCTACTTAAAAGAAAACAGAGAACCAATGTAGGGATTTAGTCCAATCACAGATCTACTGTCCTATATTGTGATGTCAAAATAGAAGGCAAAACCATTCTCTTAATTGTTAATAGTAGATCTTTTAAAAGTGTTGTTACTTTCTATTTGCTATAAAAAATTGGCATAAAAGTAGAAAGACCTTTTACTATAAGTATAATTAGTATTCATGATGAAAGTAAGAGAGCAGTAGGAGAAATATTCAACTTTCTTTTTGAAGTTGGTGGTTGCCAAATCCCAATTGATGTTATTGTGACTGATGCCCAGACCTATCAAGTGATTATAAGAAATGACTGGTTTTCTAAGGTCAAAACTAATATAGACTGGTGTACCTCAGAAATAATTTTTCTTTGGAATAACCAAAAGGTTAAAGTCCTAGTGGAATTCAGAAAACTTCTTTTTCAACCTCTTGAAAGTGATAGACTGGTAATTGTAAAAAGTCTAAAAGACCAGGATGAAGAAAGTGAAAGTGAATTTGATACTGAAAGCAAAGAAGAATTTGAAAAAGAAGAACTAGATAAATAACTTTATATTTATTTTGAAATTGAACTAGAACTCAGAGAACTTCAAAGTGAAGATGAGTTCAGAGTTTTGTTTCAAGATAAAAGAAACTTGAAAGAAGATTTAGAAAGGTCATTTAATAAAGAAAACGGAGATGATGAAATTAATGAAATTCTTGATTGTTATTTCTTCAATGAAGATAAAGCTTCTGATGTTGAGATTAATTCTGAATTAGAAAGGAAGTAAAAAGATAAATTGAATTACTTGTTACAAGAGAATATTAAAAATTTTGCTTTTACTTCTAATTAATTGGACCGCATTGACATTGTTCAGCATAAAATTTGCTCTGGAGATACATTTCTAATCAAACAAAGACTTTACTGGCATTCTCTAAAAGAAAAAAAGTTCTTAAAAGAAGAAGTCTCTAGAATATTAGAAGAAAGTATTATTTCTCTTTCTTTAAGTCCTTGAACCTTTCCAGTTGTCTTGATGAAACAGAAAGACAAAACCTGAATTTATATTAATTATAAGAAGCTAAATGCTATAACAAAAAAAGACAATTTTTTATTGTCCCAAATTGATAATTTGTTAGATATGTTAAAGAATTCTTCTTAATATATTTCTCTGAACCTTGTCAGTAGTTATTGACAAGTGAAAATGAACTCAGAAGATAAGAAAAAAACAGTTTTTATTACTCCCTTTGATACATTCCAGTTTAATGTAATATCCATTGACCTTATAAATACTCTGGTCACTTTCTAGTGATTAATAAACTCTTTATTCTCTAGCTTAATTAAAAAAAGTATGGTTATATATCTAGATAACTTGAATATGTATTTCAAGACTTTTGAAGACCATCTGAAATACCTTCAAGAAGTATTTGACATTTTCTATAAGGCTGAATTGAATATAAAATCCTGAAAATATTTTTTTGTCCAAAAAAGCTGAAATTTCTAGGATATGTAATAGGAGAAAGTGGAATCTCCACAGATCTAAACAAAATAGAAGTGATTAAATACTTTCCAATTTTCAAAAATTTAAGGTAACTTTAAGGATTCCTTGGATTAACTTCTTATTATCACTAGTTTGTCTCAAAATTCATTACTATTATTACTCCATTGAACAAGTTGCTCAAGAAAAATATTATATATAGATAGACTAAAAACTAGCAGAAAGCTTTTGACTAACTGAAAACTCACCTTATCTCTGCTCCAATCTTGATCTATTTAAGCTTTGAGAAAGAATTCATTCTTTTCACAGATGCTTTCTATTTGGTTCTAGAAGTTATCCTATTGTAAAAGAATCCAGAAGAACTAGAGAAAGTTATTGTCCATGCTAGTAGATCATTGTCTTTAACTGAAAAGAATTACTCGGTTACTGAGAAAGAATGCTTAGTAGTTATTTAGACTATATTCTACTTTTGCCAATACCTCTATGAAACTCACTTTACTCTTATAACTGACTATTCCACTCTAAGGTCTCTATTTATCTACAAGATGTCCAGAATAGATTAGTAAGATATATTGCCATTCTCCAAGAATACTCCTTTACCACTGTTTACAAGTTTAAAAAAGTCCATTTCAATATTGATACTTTATTCCAAATTGAATATTAAATCACTTTTATCTTTTCCCTTTCTTAAATATAATCAATAATTAATAAAAACTTTCTAGAAATTATAAAAAGAAACAAAACTTTATTAGCATTTAGTTATCTACAAATTAAATTATCTTAAATTGATTAGTGAAAAAAAATTAGTACTTATTTAGTAAAAGAAAAAAAATATCAAAGAAACCAAAACAAAATTTATCTACTTATTTTGTAACTCTCAAAAAACTTTGAATAAAAATCAAATTTTATAAGAATAAAAACTTTAGAATAGATCTTGACACCTATTATCCTTTCTTGTGCTACTTAAGTAATTTTACTATTCTGGAAGACTATATCAATGACCAAGTAAAAAAGTTGAAACATCAAATTCAGAATTATTTTATAAGAGAATAAAAAAAACTTGAAGAATTCTCAAAAACTTCAAATAATAATTAGAACAAATAAAAGAAAGTTTATTTTGTTTTCCATATATTCTGCTTCACTTTCTGAACACTTTAATATTGTAATTACTTTTCAGAAAATTTTGCTTTGATATTTTTGATCACAAATGGAAGAAAACATAAAGAAGTATATTAAATCTTGTGATGCTTATCAAAGAAGAGAAAAATTCAAGATCAAAAAACTTCTACATCCTATTAAAGTTAAAAGCTCTTTTGACAGAATAAAAATTAATATTATTAACTCCCTATCAATAATAATCTGAAGAAACAAATATATAGTTGTGATAATTGAATACTTGATCAAATAACTTAAAGCTAGAGCTATCCTAATTACTGATACTGTTAATGTAGCTTCCTTCTTCTATGAAGATATAATTTATTAGCATGGCTATCCAAGAGAACTTTTATCTAATCAAGAAAGTCATTTTTGTAATCAAGTAGTAAATATTATGTGTAAAATGATGAATGTTAAGTACCAATTATCTAGTACTTATCATCTCCAAACTAATGAACTGATAGAAAGATTTAACAGGACCCTTTGTGATGTTCTGTCAAAATACTATAGCCAATTCAATAGAAACTGGGATTTGTTCATTAGAAACTGGGATTTGTTCATTCTAGCTACATTGTTTGCATACTGAACTAGTTAGCAGAATATAACTTGATATGAGCTATTCTTTTTTTTTATATAGAAGAAAAGTATTATTACTTATAAAAACAGAAATATTTATTTACCCTTCAGAATCTGCAGATGTCATAGACTATACTTGCACGCAAAATTATTTTGGGACCCCGAAATTGCAATTTCGGAAAAAAAAGTCAAAATAGTTTTTCATAGAAGACGAAATTATTTTACTTAAAACCCGAAATTCTTTGACCACCCAGATTTATTCTTTGATTAAAGATACATATAACTGGGTACTTTTTTTACTTCCATATATAGAATAGATTTTGCATAAATCTCAAAAAGTCGAAATACCTCAAAAATCCAAAATCAATTTTGGGAACATGTATATCATAGACTACTAAGATTTTTTACTCAGAAAGATTGAACAAGTCATAGGAGATCTTCAAGAAGCTAGGAACCAAGTTCAAAATAGAATTACCAAAAGTTAATCAAAATAGCAACTCCAGTATCAAGCTAAAGTCATTATTGAGACCTATAACATTAGGAATTTAGTTCTATTGTATAGATTTACCTTTGAGAAAACTTGAAGTCCAAACTAGAAAAAAAGTGAAAAGGCCTTTACTATATCTATTAAGTCTTTGAAAATAATACTTACAAATTGAGAAATTCAAAAATAAAAGTATTAAAGAGGTCTACATATAGCAACAAACTAAAGTTATACCATTCTAAAATAAAAGTTCTTATAGTTTATCAGGAAATTTTTTTTAGTGAAAACTTTCAAAAGTTAACGTTAACGTAAGTTTTTTTTTTTTAAAAATTCAATAAAGTTTTGCTTCAATAAACTTTTATTAATAAATTAGGTATAAATTTTAAAGATACATATAATTTATTTTATATTTATTGAAACTGACTAAAAATAACATTTTACAGTCTAACTCATTATTATCTAAATATAATCTTAAGAACTGATGGCTAAAACTCTATCAAATGTATAACATTACTATAAGTATTTCACTGTTTTTCGATATGTTATTCTTAGAAGGTCTTTGTTAACCTTCAAAAGTTATTAATTTTGATATTTTTACATGGAAAAATTTTGTAAATATTATTATTTTCATAATAAATTCATATCAATAATCTTTGAAAATTATCAATTTTAATATTTTCATATATAAAATTTTACAAATATTATCATTTTCGTAGTAAATTCATATTAATAACCTCCGAAAGTTATCAGTTTTAATATCTTCATGTACGAAATTTTGTAAATATTATCATTTTCGTAATAATTTTATATCAATAATTTTTATTTATATTAGATATTTATAATATACCGTTTCGATAGTTATCACTTGTATTTATATCACTATGATTTTCAATTGATATTTTACTGTCAATGATATCTTTGAAATTTATCGAAACAATTTTAAGTAATATTGTATTGTTAACAATGTCTTTCGAAGTTTATCATATCATTGATTATCATTTCAAAATTTTCTTTAAAGGTTAATATTTTTTTTGTTTGTGCAACAAGATCAGTTATCTCATATGACTTATTATTTAACTATGTATTCTTTTGTTTATTTTCA